ATAGAAAATTTTTATAATGAGTTAAAAACCAACTATTATTCTTTATATCCACAATTGCAAAAACACTTTGAGTTGTTGTGGAAATGACGACAATGCTGAGCTGTATCATTTCATACTGGACTTCTCTTACGTGGCAATAATACAAACAACTATGTAGAACGCAGCTTTGGACTATTAAAAGATATTGTGTTCACACGCACTCAGGCCTATAACAGCATCCAAGTGTTTTTATTTATTACTACTAGTATGGAATGTTTTTACGAATGTAGGTTATTTGGAATAGCACATAGTCACCCTGGTCATATTAAAATAGCCAAACATTTTCTCTGCCCTGGCTGGGAAGCGATTGATGTAACAAAAATTCAACAAACTGAAAGGATATAGAATTTTTGGTTTCAAGTCAAACAAATGCCAATATTTTTTATATAGTCAATATTGAACTTAGTACATGTACTTGTTTTATTGGGTCATCCGGAGTACTATGCAAACATCAAGGCACAGTAGCCACAAGATACAATATTGGACTGTTAAATTTTCTTCATTCATTAACACCAGCTGATCATGCTCATTTTGCATATATCGCGCATGGTAAGTGTTTAAATATTGAACGCTTTTAAACTCATCAATACAATAATATTAATAATGTTATTTTAAGAAATTACGGCAAATGATTTTTCATTTTATGCGTCATTGCATATGCATGCAAACAATCAACTTGAACATCATACGCATAACGATAATAAGCCTTTAAATAGTATATCTCAGATGAATAACCAAACTCAGGAGTTAGAAGAACTTAATGTGGACCAAATTACAGTTTCAGAGTATGTATATTATATATCGATATTATTTTTATGAATCTAGTACCCTGCAAAATCAAATCAAAGTTTAAATTTGAATCAAATTTGTTTCAAATTCAAAATTTGATTTGATTTTGCGGAGTACTATATGAATCTAGTTTAAAGTAGATAAAAATTTATTTATTTTTAGGAATAATCTAGATTTTTTTGAGTCATTTATTGAAATGGTCAAACATAATTATGAAAATGGCGGATCCCAACTTCAGCATACATTTAAGAAGTTTGTAAAATGATATAATGTGGTGAAGTCTAAATCTATTCCAGCATTAATATCATTCTTTTATAATATAAATCGTGATGTCGATTTACTTACACGAATAAAAAGCGGTACAAAGATCCACGTTCAAGTTGAATTAGTAAAACGCCGAAAAACAAATAAAGAAAATATTGATTCTCAAGTTATTCCAGCGCGTAAAATCAGAACAGTTGATAAAAAGATACATAATCTTAGTCAGAATATTAAAAAAATAATTGAACTAAAAGTGAAAACTATTTGGTGTTATTTACATATTCATTTGCTACATATTCGCTACGTACTATTGTAATATTAGTTTACATAATAGGCTTACTTTGATATTATGCATATTCATTACTAAATTGAATTGATATTTTTTTTATAAGATTTTCTTTAAAAGTAATATAGTGAAGCTCAAATGTTTAATAATATACATAGCAATGCTAAACCATAAATTGTTCAACTATTCAAGTTTACATATTTGATAATGTTTGCTTTATTATTTACTTTATAAATAAAAAAAAACTATTAGAAGCGATGGTCTAATTTCTAGTGCAGTTTAGTTTCAGACTTGCTTCTATATTTTTTTATTTTATTAAAAATTGTAGTCTTTTAACGATATAGGATTTAAATGAAACATATTGATATCAAGATAACAATTTAGAAATGCGACTAAAGCATCTTTAGTCTTCATTATATTAGCTTGGTTTTTGAAAGAAAACTTTTGAAGGCTTTGAGGTTGTATTATATTAGAAATATACACCAGCAACTGGTATATAATTTTAGCTGATACTTTAAATTTAAATACTAAACAGTAGTAATCTTGAGAAGTTGACAAAAAGATGCATGTGGATATTTATAAAAAAATAATAAATTTCAAAAAAAATTAAGAACTCTTAATCGTTATATTGAGATTGTACTTATCGTTGAAAGCACAATATTGAAGTTACACGAGCATGCACAGGAACTATGGGCATGATCTACAAGTTGCATAATCGTATAACCAAAAAATAATCATGTGATAGATGATCGACAAAACCTGGCACAGAATATTTGAGTGCTATAATTTATTAAATTATTTCACATAGTTGTGAAATTATAAATATAATTTAAGAGAAAAATAAAATAACACCCATCGCTATAGTGATTCTATATGATCAGCCAATTATTTTTGAGATTACTGATTATATATAAACAATTAATAATCACTTGTTTTTCTCAATTTTTGTTTTTTCGCTTTGCTTAACTTTAGGATCAGGTATATATGTAATTTTATTTTATTTTTTATTTTTTTTTATTGAAGCTAAATTTTTTTTTGTTATTTTATTTCAACTATTTTTTATTTTTTTTCGACTTGCTTTTTTTTTATTAATTTTATCTTTTCTTATTATCTTCACCCTTTATTTTTTCTTCATTTTTATTTTTTTTCTTACCTTTAATTTCTTTCTTTGTTTATTTTCTCTCTTCTTTTTTTTTCTTTTCTTGCTTCTTTTCTTTTTATATTTTTTTTTCTGCTTTTGTCTTTTCTTTTTCTTGTTCTTTTTTTTTTTTTCTTTAATTTTTTTTCTTTTCTGCTTTATTTTCTACTTTTTTCTTCTTTCTCTGTTTATCTTCCCACTTTCTTACCTTTAATTTTCTTTTCTTCTTTTTTTTATTTTATTTTTTTTCTTCTTTCTACTTTATTTTTTTTCTGCTTTTTTTTTTCTGTTTATTTTCTTGCTTCTTTCTTTTTTTTCTTTCCTTGCTTCTTTTCTTTTTTTTTTCGCATTTCTTTTTTCTGCTTTCGTCCTTTTTTTTCTTGTTTTTTTTTTTTTTTTTTTTTTTTTTCTTTTTTTTTTTTCTTTTTTTTTTTTTTTTTTCTTTTTTTTTTCTTTCTTTTTTT